TCATACTTTACCCATAATCCTTTGCTTGAGAATCAAGATGGCTGACGACATAATGATGAAAAGTTGAATATCCAGAGAATGAAAACTGATACAAAAAAACTATAAATTGCATTCTCATACATTTGTGGAGCTTTTTCTTTAGAGGCCATTATGTTGTTTGGATTGAGGTTCCCTTTAAAAATTAATTCAAAATTACTTGTACACGAGGAATTGATGGAAAAGCTGAAAACTAATTATGTAAATCAGGTAACTAATATGAACAGAACAAAAAAATTATGAATTATTATGCTAATTAAGAATTAATATGAACAAATTTTAACCCAAAATTAATTAGGCCTGTCTATTGTCCTAGAGCATTTATGTACCAAATTTTATTCAAATGTGATGATCAGTAATTGAGATATCAGTGTTAATTATATTAATTTGGTGATTAAGAAGCAAAAATATTTACCAAAAATTAATTGGGTCTCTGCATAGTTCTCTTTAAAAGTTTCATTAAAATCCAATTCGTGGATCTTTATATATCAGTGGAACATTATGCAAATTAGGTAATTAATATCCAATTAAAACTAATCAGGTCTCTGCATAGTCCTAGATCCATGTAGCAAGTCTCATTGAAATATGATCAGTACTGGAGATATCAGGCAAAAATCTGAAAATTAACCAATTATGCTAATAAGGTAATTAATATGCACAAATAATTACCCAAAAACTAATCAGGGGTCTGCACAGTCCTTAAGTAACTATGTACCAAATTTCATTGAAATGTGATGATTACCACTTGAAATATCGAAAACTGAAAATTAATTATGCAAATTAGGTAATTAATATATACTGATATTACCCTAAAAACTATCAGGTTTGTGCAGTGCCCTATGACATCTGTGTACCAAGCTTTATTGAAATGTGATTAGTACTTGAGATATTCAAAAGCCGAAAATTGATTAAACATTATGCAAATTAGGTAATAAATATGTACTCGTATTACCCTAAAAACTATCAGGTCTGTGCAGTGCCCTATGATATCTATGTACCAAGCTTTATTGAAATGTGATGATTAGTACTTGAGATATCAAAAGCCGAAAATTGATTATGCAAATTAGGTAATTAATATGTACTGATATTACCCTAAAAACTATCAGGTCTGTGCAGTGTCCCATGACATCTATGTACCAAGCTTTATTGAAATGTGATGATTAGTACTTGAGATATCAGTGGGAAAAGCAGAAAATTGATTAATCATTATGCAAATTAGGTAATAAATATTGCAGATTTTTTCCCAAAACTAATCAAATCTGTGCATTAATTTGGAGCATATATGTGCCAAGTTTCATCAAAATCCAATGAGTGGTTCTTTTGATATCAGTGGAACAGTCCTGGAAAAGCTAAAAATCAGCTAATTATCATGCAAATTAGGTAATTAATATGCATGGATTTTTACCAAAACCTAATCAAATTTGCACATTGGCCCCAGAGCATCTATGCACCAAGTTTCATCAAAAATCAATGTATGGTTCTTGAGATATCAGTGGAACAGACAGACACACACACACTGCAAAGATTCCCTTTTTGTGCTTTGCACACAGGAGTCAAAAACATGCAGTGAGGTAAATCCACAAGTTCCCGTTTCAGACTGCATTGTGATTTTACATTTTTTTTTCGATAAAAATGGAACAGATCATACAAATCATGCCTGCGTACCAAACTTGATCAAAATCTGTAAATGTTATTCTGAGAAACATTCCACTAATTTTTAATCAAATCACAAAACGTGCATCGTGCACCCATGAATGATGTCGATACCAAAATCAACATGACGTGTTCAAACGTTGATTTTCGGGACAAATATAGGGAGCCAACAACAAAAATTGATATGCTATTTTCCAACTGTGTTCATTTAGCTAAAGTAAGTAGAGTTAACCCCCCCCCCCCCCTCAATGACATGGACGTGTAGGCTTGTGGTAAAAAAAGTGTGAAGCTGGCAATACATTGCGCATTGGCAGTTTTCAAAATATCAAGAATAGAAACACAAAAATTGGATTACCATTGGCATGTTACAAGTTTCTCCATTTTTAACACACTCAAATGTAAATTTATGTCATCGCTTTTTGTAGATTTCACAAGAACGATGGCATAAACCTGAATGGGTCATGACGACGCAATTGCCATAGGAATGCACAAGTTATGTTATCACAAAAGTTGAATTTATGCTGCAAAGAACCGAAGCTTACTTTCAACATGACATCTTTATGTCAAGGAATACTACAATGTTGTAGCAGGTTTCCAAACTGCTGGTATTCTATCTTTCTCTCATCACAGCTGCAAAAACCATTAGATAGTTTTGAAAGCACAAATTTTAGTGAGAAGCAAACCAAGGAATGTGGTTGTTACAAAATTAAATTAAAATGCTACCAATAAACACGTTTAGTTTCATTTTATTTCATTTCAGTTGGTTTGAGTTTATGGCAGAATCGCCAATTGTCGCCACCATATTCAACTTTAATTTTAATATTACTGGCAATGTTTGGTTATTCCACTAACAAATCCACTAATTATCATCTTCAGAGCAAATGGTCGACAGAAGTTAAGGAAACAATGTCATCAAGATTTTGATCTCCTGTTTTTAGCTCCATGGTGTGATTGGGACTAAAAATATATTCAAAGCACACTGAAAATAAAAAAAATCAACAAGCAATACATTCAATTAAAATTGGAAAAGTGCACACATTTATTAGGGTATTTATGCTTATCATGTATAAGTATGTGCCCCTTTATACAGTGATTCCATTTGAGAACTCCCCAGTTTAACATTAATTATATAATCATACAAGAACCATCATGATTTCTTCTTCTGTTCCCTATTATTCAATATAATAAAGTAGGGACTTCAAATATCAACAGCTACAGCATTTTTTTAAAAATGAAAAAAACAAAAAAATTGTACAGTACAGGATCTTGCTATTGACTAAAATACTCCAAGTCTTGAAAAACACAAAACAAATGATTTTTAAGTATACATTGGTCAGACTATGAATTTGCCCTGAAAAAAGAAAATTGTTTCTCAAGGCCTAACTATACAAATTAGAATATATTAATGATGACACAAAAGTGTACACTGATTTAGAAAAATTATTTGTTGTTTGTCAGATGCATTCTGACATTTAATATCAACTATGACTTGTACAGACACGACAAGGGAAATATAAAATAAAATATTAATAAAACAGTCTTTCTTTCAAAAATTGTCAAGATTCTTCTTTGGAAAATACAAGAAAAAAATATGGATCAACTATCTATTTGTTGTCAGGACAATGTCCTTATAAAGTCTCAACAAATCTTGTGAGTTGGTCCTGTGGAGTTAAAGGAGCCATTTCTGTATCGTCTCGAGTTAATGCTGGGTCGGCAGGACTTTGAAGTTGGGGCATATTTGGATGTTGGGTGGGATTTTGTGGCAGCATTGGCTGATCAGTCTGCATTTGTTCAGGTGGGCCCACACTACCTGGGTGTGGAGAATGTGTTTGCACATGATGGGGGGAAGGCTGGGCTGAATGAGTTCTTGGGGAAGGTACAGGTTGTGACTGCGGCCTCGGTGACAAAGTTGGATTCGGTGATCTCACTTGCTGAACTAAAGTAGCCTGCGGTGACCTCACTTGATTCATTACTTGAGGAGATTGAGCTGCCAACATTTGTTGCTGTTGAGGACTCAGTCCAGTTTTTCCTTGCGAGTTAGACATCTGTTGTTTAAGTTGTTCTTGAGCATGCAACATTTGCTGATGTTGGAATTGCTGCAGTTGTTGACTCGCATCCCCTTGACCAACAACTTGTTGTTGCTGTTGCTGTTGCTGCTGTTGTTGTTGTTGTTGTTGTTGATATTGCAATAGTTGCTGGGGAGTAAATTGTCGTCGTTGCACCTGAGGTTGAGTGAAAGTCATTTGAGGTTGTTGAAACTGTGACTGTTGCAGCCTCAAAGTCTGTTGCCATTGTTGTTGTTGAGGGGTTAACTGCTGACTAGGTTGTTGACCAATTTGTTGCCCCATTTGAGGATTCATTTGTTGGGTTAGTTGTTGGCCCATTTGCTGTCCCATTTGTTGTCCCAGCTGCTGACCCATTATTTGCCCCATTTGCTGATTTAACTGTGTAACTTGGGATTGCTGTTGCTGCTGCTGCTGTTGTTGTTGTTGTTGTTGTTGTTGTTGTTGCTGCTGCTGCTGCTGCTGTTGATGCTGTGACCTTTGTTTTATAAAGGCAGCCATAAGTTGTGGATTAGATTTAAGAATATTTAGTACTTTTTGTTGTTGTTGCACAGAACTAGGTCCTTTAAGTGTTTCTAAGAGTTGCTGCAAAGCAGCTGACGGCACATTTTGCCTGACTCCAGGTTGTGCCATGTTAGGATTTCTCTGAGGTTGCATCGCTCCGGACTGAGGCATTATATGTGATGCTTGCAAGTTCATATTTTGCTGATTGGACAAAGGATTGGGTTGGGGGTACATATTTGTCCACCTTTGTAATGAAGGTAATGGGGGTCTTGGTTCCGTTCCTGCATTCGGTGACATTTGAATGGGTTTTTGTGAAGAAGCACTCACAGGAGGAGGCATCTGGCTGACAAATGAAGGTGATGGAGTTCTTTGTGGTTGCTGCCCAGGAGTATGCCTTTGGGCATTGGCTGCAATTTGTATTTGTTGCACAGCCTGAAGAGCTGCTGGTGGTGCCCCATGGTTTGGTGGTTTCATTGATACAGCCCGAGGGAGTTGCGACAATTGCTGCTGCTGCTGTTGTTGTTGTTGTTGCTGCTGCTGCTGCTGTTGCTGCTGCTGCTGCTGCTGCTGCTGTGGTGGTGGCAACTGTTGTTGCAGTTGCTGTGGTGGCATAGCTGGTGCCTGTGATGGAACAACTGACGGCTGAGCCTGCACTGAAGCTGAACTTTGTGGTAGGCGAGTAGCCATAGTAGCCATACGTCGTCGAAGCATCTGTGCCTGTTGTAGTCTGTGTTGTAATTGTTGTTGTCGAAGTTTATGTTTAATATTTAGACAGAACGGAACAGGACATTTGGCCTCCTGACAATGCTTAGCATGATAACAACATAAAGCAATAAGCTGTTTACATATAGGACAGCCACCATTAGTTTTCCTTTTACAACTCCTTGTATGTTGCACAACACGTTTCATTTTCTGACAACTTGGCAAGCGACAATTAGCATCCCGACATTGGCAAGCATGTACTAATGATTGAATACAACGCTGAATAGATTGACGACGAGATTCCTGTGGACTACGCATTGGGTTGGCTTGTTGATCAACATCGAGGTCCAAGCCCCATTTGTCCATTTTATGTTCATGACCAACCTTCTTGAAGCATGGAACACACAGGTCAAAATCCTGAAATATAAAACATATATATTAGCAGCATAGACAACTATTAGTATGCAAATTAATCCAGGGTCTAAGCCTGTCACCTGGTTGAAGACCCAATTCATTTGCCCAAAGCAAGTGTGGCTATCACTTGCATAGTCTGTTTACAGAAACTCATTTGTTCACCTACTTTTAGTGTGACTGCAAACACTAGATGTCACGTAGAAATATTAAATTTTTGAGAAATCAAAAATAGTCATGATTAAGCCTGTCTAGGGAATGGCACATGGGCACAGTTATGGAATAAATTTGCCATTTTTTTAAACAAATGTAAAAAGCCATGAAGAAGCCAGTAAATGAATTTGTACTGAGTCACATAACTGGACCGTCATCGGCAACCCTAGAGATTGTGTGGTCCGAGTCTCATTCCTGTTCCATTTATCGTCATAGGCCGAGTTGTTTGTGGGGATTAGATTAGACACCTTGTTTCAGCAGCTCAACATCACGTGACATTAATTGACAGCAGTTAATCATTCAAGCTTAGTAGTTTCTTTCTCCAGTTTGTGTTTGATTTTCAGCTGACAGAATCTCAACTCGTACACTATTTATTGTCATAAATACTATATGAAATCATTGCTGTTATATTCATAGTCACATACATCCAATTTGGTACAACATAATCAACCTGTTTGTTGGAGCTGTTTACTGCAGGAAGTTACAAATAATATTGTGACAATCCAACAACTGAATTATATGAGCTAATACATAAAAAACACCAATCACCATTACTTCTTGAGATACCACCTGAACATTATTGGTAATGCCGTACTCGACCGCGTTAGCGCCCACCCCCACTTTTGCGCAATTTTTATATTTGGGGTCACATTCGGCTAAGCGCCGACCCCTTCAAAATGCAACTAATTTAAAACTTTGTCTTGCGTAACGAATCTTGATCTTGGTAATCGTTTTTATATGATACAGCGTGGATATCGATCGCTGTGAACATGTTGTAACCGTGCATAAACTACGCTTCAACAAGGACCTGTTAATACAAGTAAAATGCGGTAAATATTTTATGCCATATCCAGTTTACCTCTCAAAAACGGCTAGTTACCGTAAAAACTCGATTAATTCGCGGTCTCTATTAGTTCGCGCACCCATTTTATTTTCGAATGCTAATTTTTAAATGTATCCTTTTAATTCTCAGCGTTCAAAAACATGTTTAAAATTGTATCCTATTAATTCGCGGGCCAGAATAAAGTGGGTAACTCAGAATATATTGCATGAAGACATTAAAAATATACATTTTGTTTGAGTTTTTATGTTATCAGTACTTGGTGTAGCCGCAATCGCAGATGATCTCAGTCATCACAGCCTTTCAGTTAGCAAGCAGTTTAGGTTCGGTAAAGATTTGACCTGAAAAAAATCATTCCCCCACAACACTACAGATTATTACTTAGTCGATAAAAATCCATCGGTTAGCACATCCATTACGAATTTCCTGTGATGGAAAGCTTAGTACAGGGCTTTTTCGTCGCTGGTCCACAGCGTCGCATTGACCATGTGTCCGCCATTATTCTATTACGTCATTTAAGTGAACCGCTCTACGGTGCGTAAATTGACGTTTTTGATTGGTTGGGCGATTGACCGTTTTCGGTAAAAAACACAGAGTTAAGCGGTCATGTACGTTCTATAAATCTAACCTTGCACACATAATATTGTACTGACATATTTTTTGTCCAAGAAAGATGTTCCTTTTCATTTAATCCCAGTTACCTCTTCGCATCCATGGTATTTGTGAGAGTTGAAAGATTTTTTGAACAAATGACAAGTAACTATATTGATTTGCGTTAAGCTGGGTGGCCCGAATTTAAATATAAGTGTATGAACTCTGGAGGTCATTGCCCAATGCCGCACGTAATTCAAACGCGTGGTTAAAAAAAACACTAATTATCATGAAAGCAATACATTACGAAGTTGAAATATTCAGAGCCGGTACAATATTGTAAACAAATTTGCGTAATGAGAAAAGCAGTGCAGGGTTCTCCCCAGGGCTTTTTAGCGCCGAGGTCCGCGGCGCTATACCTGTGAATCTCGGCGCTTCACTTGGGACCTCGGCGCTATGTGTTCCCACCTCGGCGCTTGATTTCATATTTGACATGCTAATATCAGATGTGAAAAAGCTTTGTTCGCCACGCCGGTCGGCCCCGACCGTCACTCAAAATTAGTGACCACCACGGAAATGCTTCCGACGAGGACTATTGTCTGATTGTTGGTATAATTACGTACCGACCGACACGCATCCTGCCAGTCGTGGATTATAATTTATAAACAATAACCTAGTCGCACGATACGTAGCGGCTAGTCAAATTTGTGGAATT